TCCTACGAATTCCCAATCTCTTCAGCATACTTTATTATTGTTATTAAATATTAGCAATTTGACATTCTCTCATTGTCTATACCTTGCTGTAAAGCAGTAATAATATTAAATAAAGTGTTTGGCACTTTTCTCTATCTACAGTCAACAAAGCTTTTTTAACTTTCAAGGAATCCTATGAAATGGAGGCATAAATATGACTTTTTAACGAGAAATGGAGAACTTGTTAAGGCGATTACTGTGTACCTGTTTCTCCTGTACTCCACTTATGTTTGAGTGTAATAAAAAATTTGGGTAGCTTAAAGGATTAAAGTTCAACCTAACTCTATTAATGAGAACACGAGAGAATTGTCTTATATAATTATGCCATACAGGACATCGAATTGGACAGGCAGACTACCATTAAAGGCCGTGGAATCGCCTACTCTAACAATGTGATATTTAACTTGCTTTGCACCTCAATACTTTATAAGGCAAATCAATTTTAGCTTTCTTAAATAAAATTACAAAAAAATTTAAGGTTGCATAAACAGTGATTACATGGTTCTGGCTATTGACCATCCCATTTTAGAATACTTTTCAGTTGGTCACCAAATCAGAAAATACTAATTGATTCAAGAGAAAATGTACAGCGACAATTTATTCTCATTCTCTGGTATAAAATTACTGGAACATAATTTGATAGACCGTACGAACTTATTCGGATTCGTAGAAATGGTCCGTAGAACATTAACACACACTAATGCCAGATATTTTCTTACAAACACTTCAGTTATATGATCGACTGTCCACAGTCAATTTACTAAATTCCCATCTTCCACTGTGTAATAACAGACCAAATATATTATTGTCAAAAACTAATTATAATACAAATTAAGTCCAATTCCTCGACTCATGGGAATGAGTAATTAACGTCCTTTAAATTATGACAATTTTTACATTTCCTTAAATCAATTTAAATTTTTTTTAAATATTGATCATGGCAATTGCATTTGATTTGTTTAAATATTTATGTACCTTTCTTTAAATTTAATCATTCCATGTCACTTCCTTTATATTTATTTATATATTCCTGTTGTTTATTTGTATAATTAAATATTTATCATTGCTTCCCATTTCTATCATATTTTTATACACATGTGTATTATGAACAATATTTACAATATTTTGTGTTTATTATGTTGAATGTACACATATTATTAATTGTTATATGCATATTTTAATTTATGTATCAATCATTATTACTAATGTATAAAGTCTAAAATGTTATAGAAATTGTAACAGGGTAAATTTACACATAAAATAAATAGATAGATAAATGAATTAATTAAAAAAAAAATCCCACCATTCAAATAGAACAAATGAAATTCAGGATTATATCCTACGCCAAGTTGTATACAAAGCAGCAATTACAGGACATTTAAATATACTGAATTATAATCAGAATTTAAAAAAAATAAATATTTAGTTTATTTATTTATTTTGATCAAGAGTTGACGGGAAATGAGGGAGGTTGGACCCTTTGCCACACTGAATCACTCCTTCTCTTTCTGCAGCTGGCTCCATTTTGTAGTTGGTCTCTTCAGTTATTTCAATACCTCCTTGCGCTTCTGCAGCTGGCACTATTTTATACGTTTACTCACTGCTGGTTCGAACCACTCCTTCCCATTATGCAGCTGGCTCCATTTTGTAGTCGGCTTCATCAGTTATTTCGATAGCTCCTTGTGCTTCTGCAGCTGGCTCCATTTTGTAGTTGGCCACTTTAGTTATTTCAGTAGCTCCTTGGGGTTCTGCAGCTGGCCCTATTTTGTACATTTCCTCGTTACTGGTTCGAAGAAGTAATTCTGTTTCTGCAGCTGGTTCCATTTAGTAGATGGACTCTTCATTCATATCAACAGCTCTATATGATTAGGCAGCTGGCTCTATTTTGTACATTTCCTCATTGCTGGTTCGAACCACTCATTCTCTTTCTGCAGCTGTCTCCAGTTTGTAGTTGGCCTCTTCAGATATTTAAATAGCTACTTGCGCTGCTACAGCTGGCTCCATTTTGTATTTGCCTTCTTCAGTTTTTTCAATAGCTACTTACGATTCTACAGCTGCCTGCATTTTGCTAGGCCTCGCTTCGTCGGTGTTCATAGGTAATTTTGATTCTGCAGCTGGCTCTATTTTGTAGTTGGCTTCTCCAGTTATTTCAATAGCTCCATGGGGTTCTGCAGCTGGCCCTATTTTGTACATTTCCTCATTACTGGTTCGAACCACTAATTCTATTTCTGCAGCTGGTTCCATTTTGTACATTTCCTCATTGCTGGTTCGAACCACTCTTTCTCATTCAGCAGCTGGCTCTATTGTGTAGTTGGCCTCTTCTGTTATGTCAATAACACCTTGCGCTACACCAGTAAGCTGGACTTTTTACACTTCCTCATTGCTGGTTCGAAGAACTCCTTCTGATCTGGCAGCGTGCCCTATTTTGTTCATTTCCTCATTACTGGTTCGAAACACTCCTTGTGCTTCTGCAGCTGGCTCCAATATGTAGTTGGCCTGGTCAGTTATTTGAATATCTCCTTGTTCTTCTGCAGCTAGCTTCATTGTGTAGTTGGCCTCTGCAGTTATTTCAATACCTCCATGGGGTTCTGCTGCTAGCTCCATTTTGTAGTTGTCCTCTTCAGTTATTTGAATAGCTCCTTGTTCTTCTGTAGCTAGCTTCATTGTGTAGTTGGCCTCTTCAGTTATTTCAATAGCTACGTGTGCTTCTGCAGCTGGCTCCATTTTATAGTTTGCCTCACCAGTTATTTCAACAGCTCCTTGTGCTTCTGCAGCTGGCTCCATTGTGTAGTCGTCCTCTTCAGTTATTTGAATAGCTCCTTGTGCTTCTGGAGCTGGCTCCATTTTATAGTTTGCCTCAAAAGTTATTTAAACAGCTCCTTGTGCTTCTGCAGCTGGCTCCATTGTGTAGTTGCCCCCATCAGTTATTTGAATAGCTCCTTGTTCTTTTGCAGCTAGCTTCATTGTGTAGTTGTCCTCTTCAGTTATTTCAATAGCTCCTTGTACTTCTGCTGCTGGCTCCATTTTGTAGTTGTCCTGGTCAGTTATTTCAATAGCTCCTTGTTCGTCCGCAGCTGGCTCCATTGTGTAGTCGCCCCTTCAGTTATTTGAATAGCTCCTTGTTCTTCTGCAGCTAGCTTCATTGTGTAGTTTTCCTCTTCGGTTATTTCAATAGCTACGTGTGCTTCTGCAGCTTGCTCCATTTTGTAGTTGTCCTGGTCAGTTATTTGAATAGCTCCTTGTTCTTCTACAGCTAGCTTCATTGTGTTGTTGTACTCTTCGGTTATTGCAATAGCTACGTGTGCTTGTGCAGCTGGCTCCATTTTATAGTTTGCCTCACCAGTTATTTCAATAGTTCCTTGTGCTTCTGCTGCTGGCTCCATTTTGTAGCTGTCCTCTTAAGTTATTTCAATATCTCCTTGTCCTTCTGCAGCTAGCTGCATTTTGTAGTTGTCCTGGTCAGTTATTTCAATAGCTACTTGTCCTTATGCAGCTGGCTCCAATTTGCTAGGCCTGGCTTCGTCGGTATGCACTCCTCATATTGATTCTGCAGCTGACTATATTTTATAGTTGGCCTCACCAGTTATTTCAATAACCCCTTGGGCTTATGCAGCAAGTTCGATTTTGTACACTTCCTCATTGCTAGTTCGAAACTCTCCTCCTGATTTTGCAGCTTGCCCTATTTTGTTCATTTCCGCATTACTGGTTCGAAACACTCCTTCTGCTTCTCCAGCTCGTTCCCTTGTGTAATTGGCCTCTTCAGTTATTTCAATAGCTACTTGCGCTTCTGCAGCAAATTCGATTTTGTACACTTCCTCATTGCAGGTTCAACGCACTCCTTCAGATTTTGCAGCTTGCCCTATTTTGTTCATTTCATCATTACTAGTTCGAAACACTCCTTGCGCCTCTGCAGCTAGCTTCATTGTGTNGACCCAGCAGGCTTTATACTATACACCTTTTCTCTTAGGCTACTTGATACCAAATCCAAGGAGCGTTTTGAAGCAGATGTTGGACCTAAAGAAGTAATCCCATCCTTCGATAGTTTCTCTAAATTTATTCAACAACAAATCCAGCAAATTCAAACAAATGCCTTAACCTCACCAATTCCGAATCAATCCTTGAAACCAATGTCACACCCTAAACGTGTCCTGCTGTCCCTGGGAGTATCCTCTAATTTGAAGGCATGTCCTATTTGCCAAGAAAACCACAAAATTTTTGAGTGTAACCAGTTTCGTGCAATTAGCCCTTCGGATCGTTTCAAGAGAATAAAGTCATTAAATCGCTGTTTAAATTGTTTTTCTACCGGTCATTTTTGTATAAAATGTCCGTCCACATATTCTTGTCGGCATTGTGGCAAAAAACATCATTCCCTTTTACACTTGTCGAACGCTGAAAATGCCGCGAAACGTCCGAAAAACTGGTTTGACAGCAAACCTGAGCCACCAAGTAAACATTTTTGCATACTGCAGTTGGAACCCTTCATACCAACCAATTAAACCCTATTGCCGATGTATCACGCCTTGACGATCAAACATTGGTCCTTTCGGCAACAATAACTGGATAGCCAAGCGTTATTTTGGGGACCGCTGTTGCTCGTATACAGGATGGCAAAGGAAATTGCAGCCAATACGTATACTCATTGATTGCGGATCACAACGGTCATTTATAACAACAGAGTGTGCTTGCCGACTAAACCGAATCCTCAACGATTAGTCGGGCTGGGTGAGCAGTCAATTTCAGGAGGCAATTTGGCCTTAAAATGCGTTTTAGCGCCGAGTAAGAACGACGCACCTCGGCTTTGTACAACCGCTATCGTGTGAGATAAAATCACCGATGAACTCCCTTCTTGTCATTTACCTAAAGTTCTGCAGCAACGCCTCGTTGGATTTGACCTCGCCGACCCTAAGTTTCACGAACCTGGTCCAATGGAATTTCTTCTTGGGGCCGATCTATTCGGAGATATGTTATGTGGTAATTCCGTGAATTTACCTGGTGGACTCCCGACAGCCCTTAATACTATTTTTGGGATAGTTTTAATGGGAAGAATTTGTGAAGTGTCTTCGAACACCGCATGTTCATTGTTTGTGAAGGAGACAAATGAGAATTCATTTGCGGACCTGCAGAAACTAGATTCAACGGTTCATGTCAATCCTCTCGAATTACAATGCGAAGATCATTTTGCGAAGACCCATACGAGGGATGATTCTGAGAGATATGCTGTATCTTTGCCCTTCAAGGAAAACACATTGATATTAGGCGAATCAAAGCCGAGTGCTCTCGTCCGTTTTCGCAAATTAGAACATCGATTCGAAAAGGAGCCTAGCTTAAAAGAAAATTACGATACTGTAATGCGAGATTATTTGCCAAAAGGCTACATCTCTCGTGCATCACTGCCAGGCCAATATTTTCTCTCACATCATGAAGTGATCAAGGACAGCACATCGACCAAGCTTCGCGTTTTATTCGATGCTTCCTTTGCCACCAGCCATGGGTATTTAAACGACAAGTTATTGACCGGCCCGAAATTACAACGTGATATAAAAGAGGTACTACTTCATTTTCATACATTCCAGATCACAATGACTGCCGATATCGCGCAGATGTACTTACAGATTGTAGTGTCTCCTCATGATCATACTTTCCAACATTTTCTATATAGTGCCGACCCTAGTGAGGCAGTAACTGCTAGTTTCATGCATAAGTACAAAAGTGATCTACAACAGCGATGAACCGGATATATTCAGCTCTCTGAAATCCGTGATACAGCGTTCCGTCTTATATTACAAGTCCTGGCATACCATTTTCGTGATGAGCTAACAGACAAAATGATGCCTTCCAATTTTAAATCTTTAGCTCCCTTTTTGGACACCCGGGGTATATTTAGGGTGGGCGGACGGTTGTCCAACGCTCCCTTACCCTATGATGCAAAGCACCCGATCCTTATACCGCATCAATCCCGCTTCGCAACTTTATTAGTTGACTATTTGCATTTGTCGTATATGCACGCTGGACCTCAATTATTGTATTCTCTTGTTTTTAGGCGATTTTGGATTACGGGCGGTAGAAGTTTTATTCGGTCGCGAACCCATAAGTGTTTAAAATGTCATAAACTCAAAGTTAAATCATATCAACCATTCATGGGTGATTTACCTCGGTCGCGCTTCGAGCAAGGCCGACCTTTTATCAATGTAGGTATTGACTTTGGAGGCCCCTTTATGATTAAGGACTCCCCGCGTCGAAAAGCGGCAGTTTCAAAGGCCTACATATGCTTGTTCGTGTGTTTTGCTACCAAGGCAATACATGTAGAGGTGGTGTCTCGATTGTCCACTGACGCTTTCTTAGCCTCTTTGGACAGATTCATCGCCAGGAGAGGTGCCCCTACAAAAATATATTCGGACAATGCGACCAACTTCCAAGGTGCACGACGTGAATTGAAGGAAATTTATGAATGGTGGAAAAATCAAGATACCTCCCGAATAATAATCGAACATTTACAACTTAAAGAGGTGGAATGAAGTTTCATACCTCCAGCTGCTCCACACTTCGGCGGCATTTGGGAAGCTGGGGTGAAGTCTTTAAAGTACCACATCACACGAGTATTAAATGGGCATTCCTTAACATTTGAAGAGCTTACCACTATAACCACTCGAGCCGAAGCCATCTTGAATTCTCGTCCGCTTTACCCCATGTCCTCTGATCTAGACAATTTCGACGTGCTTACACCGGGTCATTTCCTAATAGGGGCCCCTATTGTTTCCATTCCACAGCCGAGTTATACCGATGCACCCACCCATATTCTAAATCGATGGCAGTTCCTGCAAAAATCTATAAATGATATTTGGAAACGATGAAGGTTAGATTATCTCAATTGTCTACAGCAACGAGGAAAATGGACAAAACGAACACCAAATTTAATTCCCGGTACTTTGGTTTTACTTCGTGATCCCACCATAGCGCCGATGTTTTGGCCTGTAGGACGGGTATTGGATGTTTTTCCAGGGAAGGACCAGATTGTGAGAGTTGCAAAGATAAAAACCAGTACTGGCGAATATATCCGACCATTATCTCGATTGTCACCCTTGTTACCGATTGAAGAGGAGAAATTTTGACCAGTCAAAATTTGGTGGGGGGTATGTTTGCGCCGGAATAAATAGTTTTAAGAACTAAAAAATGTACTTGTTTAATATTAGATTTATTTAAATGTAATTATTATTTTGTTCCGTTATGTTTATNCGGAATATCACCAAGCTTGGAACAGCTTAACAAAAATATTTGACAATGAAAGGATACAGGCAACAAACTGTTTAGTTAAAATTTTTAACTTTCCACCATTAACGCGACATGATCAAGCGTCTCTTGAGAGATTTTCCTCCACCGTCTTGGAATCAGCTCAAGCCTTTAGAAATCTTAACCTGGAAGACCCAGCAGGCTTTATACTATACACCTTTTCTCTTAGGCTACTTGATACCAAATCTGACCTCGATACCTACCGCTACCTCGATCAGAACCAGTTCAAATAGATGAAGATTTGCTACCTACCTCAAACCATCAGCTGAGTAAACAAACAAACCAAAAAGCTTCTGCTTTCGCTCTTAATAATATTGTAATTAATTTAGTTTGTTAACTTTAATATTCCCCTGGCCAATTGTTTGTGTTTAAGAATGTAGTTGTAAATGAAACAACATTACAATTTTATGTACTAGTACAATTATAGTATTGATTGTTTATAAATTATATTTTTTACTAGATTATCTCCTCCAATTCATCTTCAAGTAAAGAAACCCTACATTCAAATTCCTGGAAACGGATTGGGAGGTACGCTAATAATTGCAGTAAGCCCCTCCCCCCAACAGCACTCCTTCTGATTTTGCAGCTTGCCCTAGTTTGTTCATTTCATCATTACTGGTTCGAAACACTCCTTGTGCTTCTGCTGCTGGCTCCATTTTGTAGTTGTCCTCTTCAGTTATTTCAATAGCTCCTTGTTCTTCTGCAGCTAGCTTCATTGTGTAGTTGGCATTTACAGTTTTTTCAATAGCTACGTGAGCTTCTGCTGCTGGCTTCATTGTGTAGTTTTCCTCTTCAGTTATTTCAATAGCTCCTTGTGCTTCTGCTGCTGGCTCCATTTTGTAGTAGTCCTCTTCAGTTATTTCAATAGCTACATGGGGTTCTGCAGCTGGCCCTATTTTATACTTTTCCTCATTGTTGGTTCGAATCATTAATTCTGTTTCTGCTGCGGGTCCCAATTTGGTATCTTCATTGATATTAACAGCTTCCTGTTCTTCTGCATGAGCCCTGTTTTGTACATTTCCGCATTGCTGGTTTGAACCACACTTCTGTTTCTGCAGATGTCTCCATCTTGTAGGTGGCGTCTTCAGTTATTTCAATAGCTTCTTCGGGTTCTGCAGCTTGCTGCATTTTGTAGATGGCTTCTTCATTGATTTCAATATCTCGTTGTGCTTCTGCAGCTCGTTCTATTTTATTCATTTCGTCATTGCCGGTTCGACCCACTCATTCTCTTTCTGCAGCTGTCTCCATTTTGTAGTTGGCGTCTTCCGTGATTTCTATAGCTACTTGGGCTTCTGCAGCAGGCTCTATTTTGCTAGCCGTGGCTTCTTCGGTATGCATTTCTCATTTTGATTCTGCAGCTGACTCTATTTTATACACATCGTCATTGCTGGTTCGAACCACTTCTTTTGTTTCTGCAGCGGGCTCCATTTTGTAGTTGGCGTCTTCGGTTATTTCAATAGCTTCTTTTGCTACTGTAGCTGCCTGTATTTTATATTTTCTTTATTGCTGTTTCGAACCACTTCTTCTCATTCTGCAGCGTGCTCCATTATGTAGTTGGTCTTTTCAGTTATTTTATTAACTCCTTGCGCTTCTTCAGCAAGCTCGATTTTGTACACTTCCTCAATGCTGGTTCGAAGCCCTCCTTCTGGTTTGGTAGCTTGCCCTATTTTGTACATTTCCTCATTAATGATTCGAACCAGTAATTCTGTTTCTGCAGCTGCTTCCAGTTTGTACATTTCCTCATTGATGGTTCGAACCACACTTTCTGTTTCTGCAGCTGGCTCCATTTTGTATTTGGTTTCATCAGTTATTTATATAGCTCCTTGTGCTTCTGCCGCTGGTTCTATTTTGTACATTTCCTCTTTGCTGGTATGAACCAGTCCTTCTTTTTCTGTAGCTGGCTCTATTTTGTACATTTCCTCATTTCTGGTTCAAACCACTCCTTCTGTTTTCCCTCTGTTTCCAATTTGTAGATGGCTTCTTCATTGATTTCTATATCTCCTTTTGATTCTGCAGCTGGCTCCATTTTGGTAGTTGTCCCTTCGTCTTTATGCATTGCTCCTTTTGCTTCTGTAGCTCGTTCTATTTTGTACAGTTCCTCATTGCTGGTTCGAACCACACCTTATGTTTCTGCAGTTGGTTCTATTTTGTAGTTGGCCTCTTCAGTTATTTCAATAGATCCTTGTGCTTCTGCAGCTGGCTCCATTTTGTATATGGCGTCTTCATTGATTTCAATAACTCCTTCAGCTTCTGCAGCTGGCTCTATTTTATTCATTTCGTCATTGCCGGTTCGACCCACTCATTCTCCTTCTGCAGATGTTTCCATTTTATAGTTGGCCTCGCCAGTTATTTCAATAGCTCCGTGTGCCTCTGCAGCTGTCTCCATTTTGTGGTTGGCGTCTTCAGTTATTTCAATAGCTCCTTGGGCTTCTGCAGCTGGCTCCATTTTGTAGTTGGCCTCTTTAGTTATTTCAATAGCTCCAAGGGGTTCTGCAGCTGGCTCCATTTTGTACATTTCCTCATTGCTTGTTCGATGCACACCTTCTCTTTCTGTAATAAGTATGTAATTTAAGTGAATGTACTCATTAAATGCTATCCAAATGAAAACCCACGAATAAACTGACATGATGTTCCTTTTCGGTTGGTTTTACAGTTTCACTCGTTGGGCTGGAGACAGCCGAGAGTCTTGCCTCTTCCCAACTGTGTACAGGTTGGATTAATGCAGGCTATTCTTCCCTCGATGGAGAAGCTGAAATCATTACTTGCATAAAAATAAAATACGAAAATATATAATGAAATATGACTCCTTTTGTGACTAATCCCTGATTTCATAGTGACTATGGGAAATACTCAGCCACTACACCCATTGATGACCAAATAACTAGAAAAGGGAAAACAAAATTAAAAACATAGCTGTTATGAAACCTCATCTGCTTGAGGATAGCATTTATTTGCATGCCTAATGTGCCTATATGTAAAGTAAAACAGGATCACTTTCTTCTTGGTCTCATGGACAGTCAGAACTCAATGAAAATATTTGAGGATCTGAATAGACAAGGGTGGAAAGAATAAACAGCAGAAGCCAAAAAGATAATAACAAACATCAGTAGTAACCACAGTAGTGTAATTTTTAGCATTTAACAACTTATACAGTTCAAAAGGCAATATACTTATGAACCCACACGATCTCCGACAGGATAAAGTTCCTCTCTTGACTCAGAAGATGATGTTTTGATGTTGTTTTCTTTTGCATTTCATGTCGAGAGCTAAGGGCATGAAATCCAGATGGAACTATCTTTTTATAAAAGGAATGAACACCGCATTTTCTCCGTCATTCACCATTTCTATGAATCAACCCCAATCAAATCCCGACGATACCCCCGCCAACGCGACGTTCCAATGAGAAGCTGGTTTTTTAATGGCGCTCAATTTGAACGTGCGAAAGCGGGAATTATAACACAAGTAAATCAATTTTAAATTTTTTGATTTCATATTTCTTAAACCAATCTAGTTCTCTCTCTTTATTGAAACTATGTAAAACTGTCGTATTTACATTTGAATTGAAATTATGTTTTGTTGCTTTTAGATGGTCCTTAAATTCCGAAAATTTGTTCCATTTAGGCAAGTGTTCTTTTACTCTCGTTTTTATTACTCTACCGCTTTGTCCTATATATTTAATATCACAATCATTACAGTTAAGTTGGTAAACCCTGCTTTTTGCCAAGTTGTCTACCTTGTCTTTAGGTTTTGAGATGATGTTTTTAAGTGAACCCGTACTTTTTTAACTATTCCGTAGCTATTCTACAAGCCAATCAAATACCTTGGTGTGACGCTTGACATGAAACTTGATTGGAAAGGTCATATTAATAACATATACAGGAAAGGCACAATATCTATGGTACGGTGTAGGAGAATTGTAGGTAAAATATGGGGTTTCAAACCATAGGTAGCCAAATGGCTATATACTGCAATTATTCTACTTAGATTATTGTTCGCAGCTTTAGTAAGAAAATAAGGGGAATTAGTGACAAATTAAGATCATTTCAAAGCCTAGGCTGTTTGATGATGACAGGAGCATTTTCAACTACACCCACCCTAGCACTTGAAATCATAACCAATACCACACCTCTACACATTGAGGCTAAGGTCAGAGCACTATTCAGTTGCTACAGATTAATTAGTGAAGGCAGCTGGCAATAACGTAGGACACTCGAAAATCTTACAACTATTGAGTAAGGTTAATGGCCAATTATTAAGCGTTAGTGATAAAAAGGTTAAAACCCCTTTGGGGAAAAAGTACTTTCAGGTAGTCACCCCTTGTGAATATAATTATAGAGTGGATGATGATCATCGCTACAAAGACTGCTGTACAAATGGTTCACTTATCAAAGGTAGAGGGAGGGGTGCAGGAATCTACATACCTAAATTAGGTATCAGCATCTCCTCCCCCTCTTTGCAATAACACCTCCATTTTTCAGGTGGAAATCTAGGCCATTAATGTGTGTTGTAGAACACTTATGGAAAATAAAATTAAGGGAAAATATATTAGAATTTTTTCTGACAGTCCTAGTCTTAGGTCATTACAATAAGATTTGTCAACCTCTAGACTGGTGGAAGAAACTGTAGATCTTATCAATAGAATCTCTTCCAGGTTTAAGAACAAGGTAACCCTTATTTGGATACCAGCACATAAAGGACAGCATGGCAATGAAGAGGTGGATATCCTGGCCAAAGAAGGCTTTAATACTGTGTTTGTCGGGTCACAACTGGTATTACCTCACTGTATGAGCACAGCAAAAGAGAGTATTAAAAACTGGGAAACAAAAACAATTCCTTAAGGAGTGGAATCTTTCCCCCGGACAAACTCAATTGAAAGAGTTTGTTAAGGTGATTAATCCAGCAGAATCGAAATGGCTATTCCCTAACTCAAAGAAGGGAATAGGAGGCTGACATGTATCCGGAGGGGCCTCTGCTCACTGAGAAGACACCTCTCTGTAATGGGTATTCTACCAGATCCCTTTTGCCATTTTATGAAATAAAAGAAGAAACGGCAAGGCACTACCTCGCAGAGCGTGATAGGTACGCTAGGTCTAGATTTGAAATCTTTGAAGGGGAGGACATCACCAAATCTCTCCCCGAGATTAAATGATCCAAAATCTTTGGGTTTGTGAACAGGTCCAAGAGATTTATACCAAGGTCCGGACCTTTTGGGGATGGGGTACGAGTCTAATATATATATATATATATATATATATATATACATGTGTGTGTGTGTGTGAGTGTGTGGGTGTATAAAAGCTATTCTAAAACCTTCTTGTTTAAAAATTGTACTAACTTTTTCCTATAATTCACCAATGTATGGCAAACAACGGAAACCTAATGATTCATTTATGGTGGGGTGGCTGAGTCCTATTGTTGATTCGTTTAAAGTTAATTTTTTTATGCTTTTAACTAGCAACCTATCAATAAATATTTCTAGACACCCATTGTTTTTTGCTAAGGTTTTAATAGTTTCTAATTCTTTTTTATAGTTACCAGGTGTTAATGGAAGTTTTAACATACAGTCTATGAGCCAAATGAGACCAGCAGCCTTTTGGGTCCATAGGTGGGAAGAATCCGCTGGAATCATGGTGTCTGTAGTGGTGGGTTTTCTATATACGTCTATTTCTATCAAATTGTTTATTATGGAAAATTTTAGGTCTAAAAAGTTCGAACAACCATCTTTGTTAATTTTCAGTGTAAAATTTATATTACGGAGTTATACATTATTTAGTTGGAGGAATTCTTTGAGATTCTCTAATGTTCCCGACAAAATGCTTAAAATATCGTCTACATAGCGTTTCCAAAAATGAACAGATTTAATTAATTTGTTCTTTGATTTGAAAAGATTTTTTCCGAATCATTATATTTAGTTGTTCAATATTTAGTTGTTTTTCACGTTTTTCGCACGTTCAAAATTGTGCGGCAATTGAAACCAGCTTCTCGGAATGTCGTCGATCGGCGACTTCACTCTTACAAATACAATTCAGGTCGAGAGACGTGCTTATAACTCTTTCAACCTGATGATGAGCTTTAAGCTTGAAATCTGTGAGTAGAAGTGTAGACCATCATTTACAAAAATTAAAAGAAAACGTTGTTAGAGATCGGCGATCTTCATTGACCTCAGGTTTGAATAATCGATTCATGAAAATTTTTTCTTACCAATACCCATCCAGAAGGTTTCAACTTGGAAGTCGGGCGATTTTGTTATACATTTTCTCTCCCCGATAAATTTCTCAAGAATAATAGTCGACATGTCCGCCGTCCGGTTCGGCAACCATTTAAAAGAGTTGCGGCTCCACTTCTGCCAGAAGTCCGAATCGAGCAAAGGCGTGCGTGAATTTGTGGAAAAGCATTACGTCGGCCTGAAGCAGGCCAACCCGAAGTTCCCGATCCTGATACGCGAATGCGACGGTGTCAGACCCAGATTGTGGGCCAGGTACCAGTTCGGCCAAGAGAAGTCGGCTTCACTCGAAGGGCTCGGATCTAGTGAAGTGCTCTCCCAGCTCAACAACTTGGCCAAAGCTTGATCTTCTGGTGTCCATAGTCTTTTGTAAAATTTGAAAAACAAATCTGTTGTAATTTTATGTAAATAAATATTTGTTGAATTATAAAATAAATAATTTTTTTTGTCATTTTCCTCCTTCGTTTTAATAAGTTTGAAATAATAATCCCATTTGGCAGCACTCACTATCAGACTTTGTCTTCCCTTACTTGTCTACCGAGGGATAGGGATAAAAGAAGTGGCGACCAGAACTACTGAACCTCAATCTGAATAGATCTACTGTGCTCCCCTGTTTTTAAAACTTTCTGGCCAGCTTCAGGTTGTTAATCAGCCTCCATAGCATAGGATCTTCCTTGCGTTTTTTCTTGTCCTAGTTGCAAGAACCTGCACCTACATAGACCTTCACAGAAACATAAAATGTGTTCTGCGGTCTTCTCCTCTTCCTGGCAGTGTTTCTTCTGTCTATACTACTATCCGGTGCTTTCTTAAGTGGCAGTGTCTTGTCAGGAGTCCAACCAGAATCCTGGTTCGGTTGCGGTTGCCTTCTAGTAATTCTTTTGTAAGTTTTGCAGATGGTCCTTATGTGAATCTCTGCGTGACTCATACCTGCGGTATTGTTCCATCAGTTTTTGGACTCATTAAGTATCATTTTAAGATGTATCCTCTTTTGTGGCAAGATGTTAATCCATAGTAGGGTTCAGGACACAGAGTTCATGTTGGCCTCTATGCCCCAAGAGCCCATGCCAGGGCCAGGTCATTAGTATCACTGACGGTTCAACACTGAAGAAAAATGCTGAGACATGTCTGACGGACCTAGAAGGGACATACACTATTCACTTCTGAAAGAGGATGACAGTGGCCGGATGGATAGGACATTGGACTCATACTTGCCACTCTAGTGGTTCTGACTTCCGGGTTCAAATCCTGACACACCCCACTGAACTTTAATTGTTAATATTTAAAAATTATTGTAAAGTGGTTTGACCACTTGTCTGCACACCCAATGGGAAGATGAACGAAGCTTTCCTGTATGACAGGTATTACTTTACATATTGAACAAACAGTTTATTCCAGCAGGTACTGACTTAGCTGTTCGCACTCACATGATAATGCAGAATAAGCAATCAACTAAACTGTCGGCCAAATAAATGTCTGCAGTGAGGTGGGTCTACAACTATATTCAAATAACAATTGACAAACATTGCCATGTTTAGCCATATTGTATGACAGGAATAACTTTACTATTTACTATAACAATAATTTTATTGAAGCATTCATAACTTTATAGTCACTCACAATGGAAAGTACAATAATTACAGCACAATTGAATATTGTTTATTTACAAAGTACACATATAAATTTAAGTGTTAACACTAATGTAAAGTAATATTTTTTACATGGCAAATAAAATCACATTGGCAGCAACAATAATATACATCATTATCACCAAAAAAAAAAAAAAAAAAAAAAAAAAAAAAAAAAAAAAATGAGTGGTTTATTGGTACGATATAAAAAATAGATTTATTTTTAAAATAATTACTAGGTATGTTTTATAAGTATTAATTAATTTTAATAACCGTATCTTATACCACCATTGTAACTGTTCTGTGGCATGCTGTATGATATGGGATTGTTGGTGCTGTTCATTATTTGATTCTGCTGGTTGATAATCTCAGCCATTTTATCTGATTTGACTTTGTGCAGGTGCATTATTTTCCTCCTGGATATGAACTGTTCTAAAAAGTCGTCCAATTCCATGTCACCGTTCAAAAAAGACTCCGAAAGCTTTTCGGACTCTTCTTCTATTTCGGCAGCCGCTGTTTGCAAGAGTGAAAGTTTTGCATCGAGCTGATTTGTCCCCTGCTTGTTCAAAATTTCGTTATATTTGTTTTCAACACTTTTGTAAAGAACTTCACAGTTTTCGTTCAGCTCTTGCAGCTGTGCTTTAAGACTAACCATAAATGGTTCTTTTGAGAGGTTGAACTCTGCCAGTGACCTGTTGGACACCATGATTATTTCCTTCTCTTTTTCAATATCTTTATATTGTTTGTCGTCTTTGATTAAATCTTCTAATTTTGAATCATTATTAAGGAATTCCTTCAATTCTTCTGTATTAAGCTGACTGAACAGGCCTAGTGTAGTTTCATAATTGATATTGCCGGCATTTCTCATGCTGTACATGTTGATAAGGACCTAAAAGACAAAATATATGTTAAATCTAAAGAAACAAATCAAGTTTGGTGAATATTGATGATAGGGGGAAATATAAATGTTTTAATTGTTTGTGTGATTGAATGAAAACATTAACATAAACTGTCCCAACTAGTGGGCTACTGGCTCTCCCGTTTTTACTTTTCTTTATCCTACTGCTAACCTCTCTCTACTTGATGGCCTCAAAAACTGTGAATAAAATAACAGTACTCCAGAAAACTCAATATTCCTTGGGTAATATTGTAATAATCCTTGGGTAATAAGGGAGGAATAAGCCTCTCCATTGATGCTACATACACACACCCCAATTCATTCACACTACCCAACATCATTTAATATTCCTTGGGGTAATTGGGGAATAAGTCCCACCATTTATGCTAACCAATAACGTTCACACACCACAGTATATCCCCACATCACTCAATATTCCCTGGAGAAATTAGGAAACGAGCTATATCATAGACAATATAAATGACATTCACATATTACTATTCAATCACACTACCCTAGATCATTTAATATTCCTTGGGAGAATTGGGGAAAGAGTCCAACCATTCATACGAATAAATAACATTCACGCACTACAGTACTACACCAGATTTCTCAGTATTCCTTGGGGTAATTACGGAACTAGCCACATCATTTACATTATAAATGACATTCACATCCTCCAATTCATTCACACTACTGTAGATCTTTAATATTCCTTGGTGTAATTGGGGAAAGAGTCCCACCATTCATACTAATAAATAACATCCACAAACCACATTACATCATCACATCACTCAATATTTCTTGGGGTAATTTCGGAACTAGCCACATCATTGACATTATAAATGACATTCACATCCTCCAATTCATTCACACTACTGTAGATCATTAATATTCCTTGGTGTAATTGGGGAAAGAGTCCCACCATTCATACTAATAAATAACATCCACACACCACATTACTACCCCAGGTCACTCTACATTCCTTGGAGTAATTACTGAACGAGCCACATCATTGACCCTATAAATGACATTCACATACTACTATTCATTCACACTACCCTAGATCATTCAATATTCCTTGGTGTAATTGGAGAAAGAGTCCCACCATTCATACTAATAAATAACATCCACACACCACACTACATCACCACATCACTCAACATTTCTTGGGGTAATTTCGGAACTAGCCACATCATTGACACGATAAATGACATCCTCCAATTCATTCACACTACCGTAGATCATTAATATTCCTTGGGGTAATTTGGGAATAAGCCCCTACATTCATGATAATAAGTACATTCATTCCAAAATATAACACATATCACATAAGGTACAAAGAACTAAATACAATTTAACGTTTTTAAAGCTCTGCAATATTGACGAGGCACAGCTATCTGTGCCTGTTGATATGCATCATGTAGAATGTCATACTTCTACTGAGATAATTTCTCCACACAACAGACACCTGCATGATCTCATCTTCATTAGGTATCCGTGTATGATCTTTGTACGACCTACGTGCAACATGATTGGTATGACCTTTTTTTATTCCAGAATAAATTTCAATCTCTAGATTTCGCCAATGGTTCAAGTTCTAAATCGAAATAAAATGAAATAAAAAAGTAAATACTGTATTTTTAAATTTTTTACTATTCTTTCGTTGATTGTACTTTGGCTAAAATGAAGACTTTTTTTCCTTTTGTTCTAATGATTTATTAACACGTTAATATTGAGATATTAAATGATTTTTTTTTCTTTAAAACCGAATTTATATAGTTTTATGATTGCTAGTTGTGCTACTCTTGAGAGGATGATACTGTAGTATAAGTATTGTCAGGAAGGTGAGGCCAGGCATAAGACCTACGGGCTTTAAAAAATATAATACAAAGAATAACGCATTGAACGTACTTTGAACCAGAAATTATCAATTAGAAAATATATTATTACCTGAACGAACTTTCTGTCTTAAACCTCGGTTATCGTAATAAACCGTCTTGGATTCCCCAAAAGATGTCTGATAACCAGTAGAATTTGTCTGATAGACTGATAAACGATTCTCAGAAAATTTCAGACGCTACTTCGATGTCAACAAAAATCGAATAACCTTTAACTAATTATCAACTAACTTCAATCTTCAAATTTTACGTTGAATCGATTGCGACTATCTGGACTCGAATTTTTCGATCTGTAGACGTTTTCATAATTCAAAAAAAGAATCTGAAAACATTTTTTAAAAGATGATATTGCAGATGTAATTGTATTTTGGCAAATACGTTAATAACTACACAGACATAGTGAAGGCACTAGGTCAACTGACTCCATTATCAATTATAACTTTTTTAAAAATAAGGATTACTCTTATTTTAATCATTTTTCTTTTTATCCACGGTCTTGGTTGAGATGAAAAAGCTAGTCACAAGCGGGAATCGAACCCATGACCTTCATCTCAACCACTTCAGCTATTGTGTCTTTGATCAATTCAGACACCAACCTCTCATCTCAGACCTTTTGCTTAACTCTGTGGGAAGCACATCCTTTTTATTATTTTTTTTTATAACAATTTTTTAAATAAGGATTATATTCTCGTTGGATAGGATAAGCTAATAATCCACCAGTTGGAGGCTTCGGGAAAGCTGGACGAGACATGATAATGATGATTATGTAAGGTTTTGGTTGAAAGGAAAACGTTAATGAGACGAGCCGGATTTGAACCCACCGAAGGTCCAGGGTTCGAATCTGCTCATGATATTAACTTTAATAATAATTCAAAATCTTATACAAAAAGAATAATCTAGATCTCTTTATGCCACTTTTACTCAGTGGAAAATTTGGATAGAATCTACCGTTTCTGAATTAGGCCTGATGGAATATACGTGCGAGGCGTATGCTTTTTGAAAATGATGGCTAAGGATGGTAAAGATGACCCCCCCTCCCCGTTTATTTAGAAAACGATTAACTTTTGCGAAAAATGATGAAGTTGATAATTGTATGTTAGTTATGGGCTGACAAACATCTGGTGGTTATCACCAGCCCTTTGTGCATAAACAGAAAATTCTTTTTTTTTTTTTCAAGCATCTTTCTTACTGACTGTTGACTACTGTTGGATCAGATTGCAAAAAAAAAAAAAAATAAATAAATAAAAATACCAAGAAAACAAATACAAATACATTCAAATATTTTCATCCTCCCTGCCCAAAAAACAAGACAATGGGTGAAGCGTCCCTGAAACATTCTGCAGTTCCCAAACAAGATAGCAAGTATGAAAATAAATGCATTTATATAGAAGTCAACTGTAAAACATTTAAAAATCATACAATATATTTTTTAAAGGCAATTAGTGTTGCAAACCAATTGACTATCAGAAGTGCCCTTTATGGGAAAAAAAAGTTTTATTGTCGTATAAACTAATGAGACAAAATATATATAAAATCATATTTATTTACAAAATCTTGTACACGGAAACAAAGTGAAAACACAATATAATAGCTATTGTTAATTTGAAATTAATAGCCATATTTGTCATTCAGGAATGTTCTTCCATCTCCTGTTTGTCCCTTTGGTGGTTGCCAGATTTCATTGCTGTATTCTTCACCAGTGATAACATGTTCCTCGGTCTTTTTTTTCTGCGGTTTCTTTTTCACTTTTTCAACAATCTTGTCACCAACTATGGTAAGGTTAGGAGGAAGTGTTGGACCAATAACTGCAATAGATAATATGAAAATGGCATTAATCATATTTAACTTCTAAGAATACTGGACACATTTTAGTAAATACCCTTTTTAGTTCCATCTTCAGTTTTATTTTCTGGTAATTTTTTTTCTGTAGGTTCTTTGCCATTTTTGTTTTCTTCTTTATTCTCATTGACTTTAACTGGTTGATGATGAGCCAAGGGGGGAACAACTGTTTTCTCTTTTGGTTTCGGTTTTATCACAGGTTGTACTAGTTCTGGCATATTAGTCGGCCTAGCTATATTAACTAACTTTCTGAGTCTTACTTCTTCTTCTTTTAGCAAATGTAGTTCATCCTGGAATGACAACAAAAACAATATATAAAATTAAACATCCAAGAAAATAATTTTTATAGAACAACACAGTTTAACAAGGGGGACGTGGGATCACTTATTTTAATGAAACTTTTTTCAAATATTTTAGGTAAATATAATATTCTAAGTAATGTACATAGTTTTTAAGCAGGGTTTTTTTGTCTTTGCTGTGCAGGTATTTCAAGGTTATTACATACCATTTGATTTGTTTTATTGTCTAGTATAAAAAAAATAACATGCAGGATAATATTTATTAGAGATTAGATATATCAAAAATTACAAAAACCAAAAGGTGCTTCCAGTAAAATAAAAAAAAAGTTTTTGAAAAACGATTCAATTTAGTTTTAAGCCCTTTTGAAAGCCATTAAATACAAACTTTTATGGCAAACATAAATGTATAAACATTTTTGATTGGAGATATTTTTTTTTCCAAAGTTTATGCCATTATGTGTAGTTTATAAGGTTCTAAAACCTCATAGGTTCTCCAGTAGATCATGAGGAGTCATTTCAAAGTTATTTCCAGTTCTGTGATTTTTTTTTAAATTTTCCTACAGATTTGTATTCAGGGGTTTTGGGGGTTTGAAATATTAACTTTGTTTCTACTTGTCAAAATTGATTTGGTAGCTAGGGTATACATAATTAGTGACTGGAAGTAAGCTATAATTTTTGTTGTTGAAAGTTGATTTTTATTTTATTTTCACTCCAAAAATCCCTGAAATATTATTTTTTCCTCAACATTTCGACCGTCTCCAATTATTAAAAAAAAAAAAAAATCACAAAAATAGTAGAAATAACTGGGGTGGGGTGAGTAGATAAAATAATGTATTGGCGGTAGATTTGCAAGTCAATGTTACAATTCAAGTTGAAGTTTGTAATTCATTAACCTGTTGATGGGCTTAAATCCAGAGGTTGCTAACAACAATTCTTTGAAGAAAAAATGAACACTGAAACGATTCCACCAATCCATAGGAAACTTTACAGGGGTTTAGAACCCACAAAACTAAAAGTAATGGCATCAATTTGGCCTCCCTAAATAAAATAAAACATTTGAACTGTTCTTTTTTATTTCATCATTGTTTTTCACATTTAAAATAAGAAAAAATATATGAATTATTGGAATATGACGAAAGCTTTCCAACTGTTGTAATAATGTTGAATTTGGATAAAATCTAGAGGTATTAATAATTTTTTAATGGAACAATGGACATCAAAATTTAAACAAAAATCCTTGCTAAATCCAGCCTACAAATTAAGTTTTTATACCGTCTACAACTGGGCTAAAATATATATAATAAAATTTTTCATCTATAAAAAAGCAGGACAACAACAAGAAGAAAGAAAGAAGAATATTTTTTGTCTGCCATAAAAATTCGTCTTAAGGGTGCTTAAAATGAATATCATTCAATACATTCCCGTGTATTGTTTTCATATATTAGATTATAAAAGAAATCGAATGATATACAATAACCAGAAATATATGTACAATGCAGGCAGAAAAAACATATTAGAAAAATTACTAATTAGCTAAAATATTTTTCCTTCAGCTACTAGGGTCCTCCATTGGGAAGAACACTTAGACATATATCTGATATATTTTGTCCTTGTATCACCAAAAAAGTTTCATTCTTCTAAAATTCCTAATTTTCCTTTGTAAGATAAAACATGAATATATAAAAAATAAATTAGAAGCATTTACAAAATTGAATGATTAAATTATATGAAATCACCTTAGCAATTTTTATATCTAGTTTTTTAGGTTGTAAATGCTTAAGAGACATCATATACGCATCCAAAGCGTCGACATCATCGGAGATGACATTTTTAGCTGAAGAATGACTAGTCAGTTCAAGAAGTTTGTTCTCAGCTTTTTCAATTTTTGTCAATGTGGCTTTATGCTTCTCCATAAGGGATTCATACGTCTCGACAGTGTCTTGAATTTTGCCAGCCTTCAGCATCCTTTTCTGACGTTTCTTGTCCAGGTCGCCAGTCCTGTCAAGGAAGCTGTCCTCATCACTGTCGTAGTAATCGTTATCTTCCCAATTTCGTTTTTGCACCCTCTTTCTCTCTGTAAAATGTTTATGTTAAAGGAAAAATGTTTCATTGAAATTTTAAATGCTTTACCTTGTTTGGAAGGCTTGAGGAGACCCATTTTATCGATTGCTCTACATGCCTCCAATGCACATTGGACCTGCGATTCCTTTTTATTTCTAGCTGAAGTTTCAATAGTAATCTCTTTTCCTTCCTCATCATCTATAGGCAGTCTATAATTAAATATATTTGGCTAATAGAACAATTCAATGTCTGCTTAAATTCAATTACTTACATTAACTTACTGACAAACATGCCCTTTTCAGCTCTTTCCGTTTGGTAATGAAGTTCTTCACCTTCCCTTTCATACCACATCCTCAAGGCCTTTTTAGGATCGTCTATGTACAGTTCTTCGTTTGTAAGAACGGCATAGGGATTTTCAGAAAGGTCAGTTTCTTCATCAGCATCTTCCGCTAAAATCCATCAATTAAATAAAGTAATATTTAAAACCTGTTTTAATTTTAGAAATAATTAGTTGATGAAGTAGAACGGTTTATATTATGGGATTTTAATGGAAACATAAGGAAGCTTAGGTTCTTACATACCCATGCCCCAGCTGATTCCTCGTTCTTCAATAAGTCTTTCTTGTTCTTTCCTTTCTTGCTCTTCACGCATCTTTTCTTCTTCCTCCTTCTTTTTTCTTTCCTCGATCAACGCTTCCCTCTGCGCTTTTAGCTCTGTGAGTGACAAATCTGATTCTTCCTCTTGATCCTCGTCAGGCCCAAGGAAGCAAAACAGCCTGGAACTTGCTCCAAATTTCAATATGTGGCCAACCTAAAATGTACGGTTTTTAGGTACGAAAAATGGCAAAAAAAATTGTACAAGAAATTACCCTGATTCTAACATAGACTTTTGATTTAATCCTATATTTGTTCAGAAATGTCCCATGGGTGCTTCCAAGATCGTATAGATAGAATCCTTTTTCATTTTCACCATCTGGAACACCACGGTACTGGAGAATGGCATGGAATCTTGAAACTGTTGGATGTGCCATGTCTATATTACAGCCCTCTACTCGACCAATAGAAACAAATGGTTTGTCATTTAATTCAATCGTTCTGACGATTGTGCCATTTTTCAATTCCTGAACACAAAAGCAAAGAGTTAAATGTAAAATTACAATATTAAGAGGGTAAATTGTACCTCAATGTAGTACCGCTGTACAGGCAGACCTTTCCAAGGAGGCACTTCATAGGGTATCACCGGAAGAGGTTTTGGTTGTTTGACCGGTTCAGTTTGTCCCTGTGTGATCTCAGCGTTAGGCTTTTCTGTCGGTTTCAGTGCTTTGTGTTTGCCCTTAAGTATCTGAAGAGTTTGTAATGAGGGCTTTTTAAACTCTTCCTTGGATTCTTTCGTTTCAACGGTGGTTTCATGCTCCTTTTGACTTATCTTGTTTGATGCAGCCTCTTGCTCTTTGATGGGCTCATCACTTACTTGTGGCTCGTCCACATCCATTTTTTAAACAAAATTTGCACTAAATCAAGTTGAAAATCATAATGAACAACTTGTACACTAGCAATCAAAGTTGTTTACACTTTACAGAGAACATTTAACCTTTATGTGAAACCTTTACGGGAGGAACCAATCACCAGAAGTTCAGAACTCGCCACCAGATTTCAAAACAGTAGAAGTGACTTCATAAAATTCCTTCATTTCAATAATTTATTTTTGTTTAGATGAAAAACTATGAAATGTTATTTACTGCTTATAACATTCTAATTTGAAATCTTATGTAATATTTAATCAACGGTTTTAAAACTACTTGCAAGCTCAATCCAACTTTTACAATAAGCTATCACAAGAAATCATAATACTTAATAATTTGTTTGAAAATGTATTTAACTTATTATCAGCCCTAAAATATTTAAGAATTTTTATAAACAATTACTGTTTCTTGAATAATATAAAACTGTAACTGTGGACATGTATGTATATACGTATTATATCATAGGCTCAATAAATCATAATCATAGTCAACAGCTAGGTCATGCTTGTAGTTTTTAAAAGTAGATACACTCACATTTTCATCATTTTTAAATACATTCCTTCCTAATTAAATACCATTTGAGTGAATGGTATTTAATTTCAGTAACTGAGTACCCCACCGCCCTACATACTCATGTCCCCCCCACCGCCCTCCCATATTATATATTCACGTTAATAAATACTTTCAATCTCAATATACACAAAAGAATATCTACAATAAAACAACCCTGTTTCTTTCATATTTTCCATAATGTATTCTGATACCATTCACTCATGTAGGGGGGGTGGATTACTTACATACTTTTACAACACCATCGGCCTTCTCATATTATGCCTTCACGCTAATAAATACATTTAATCTCAATATACACAAAAGAAAACATAATACAATATTTTATAATACGTACAAACATTAAAACAACCGTGTTTCCTCCAAAAATCGAAGAAATTACCTAAATACATATCAGGAGAATTCCTACACGCTCTCTATTTGGAGCCAAGGAATGGTATCTTTCAATTAGGTGAAATACATAGAGCAAGTTAAACTCACTAATTTCGTGGTCCGCTTGACCAACCAATATAATACAATTAATCAAGTTTATCGAGTTTAATGATTTAAAATGAAGTACGCTTCACTAAAGCTCTCCGTGGCCATTTCATTTGTCGCCGAGAATCCAATCCGATTACACGACATTTGAAAAATGGCAAAAAGGAGGGAAAATTCAAAAGATGGGGTTGAGATTGGAAGTTGGTGTCCGAGTGGATTGAGGTCACGATGGCTCAAGTGGTAGAGCAGCGGTGTATCTAGCCGAAGATCGTGGGTTCGAATCCCACTCGTGCCATTGACTTTTTGTCTCAACTAAAAACATTGATTAATTGTAACATAGAGCAAAGTTTCTCTCTAGCTTCTGAAAAGGTAGTACACTCACATTTTCATTAATTTTTAAATATATTCCTGTAAGCGAAACACAAAGAGCAAGGTTGCTCGAAAATAAAAGTTTAAGAAATCTATCGTGCAAACGGAGTTGATCAACTAAATTTTGAACCAGCCATACTTTTGTCGTTCAGGTCTAGACTTCTCTTTAAGTTATGAGTAATTACTTTCAAGTTGAAACATGACTTGAAACAGTTGTAACGTGTGAACTTTCCAGTTGACTGTTTCCTGTTCAACTTTTCACTAAGAGGGCTGTTTTATTTTTTGTCTCAAGTGGCGTTTGATTCTCAAATTATAAGATTTTTATCATATATTACTGCTTTTTGAATCACTGATTCATATTTAATATATTGTATTTCTATGTGTAACGTTTTTCTCTATGCGATCCTTTACTTTTACCAGTAGTTGTCAAATATTTCTTCAGACATATTTACCCAAGTAGTTTCCTCTAATGGGAGTTCTTTAAGTAAGGAGTCTGATACTTCCAAATTTCTTCTTAAAATCTCTTGCCTCACACAAAACTGACATTCCTTATGATCTTTCCTCAAGTTAAATAAAATTGTTTTATCTTTTCTTTTAGTAAAACTGATATAACTGTTACAACCTTACGTACGACTATTTTCGACGCCACGTTTCAACTAACTTATTGTTGAAACGCGTGAAAAAACAACTGATTCAAGTTGGATTGTGATAAAACTGGCATGGCCCATTTTAGTCGGGTGATGATCCCGTCATCATCAGATATTCCGTTTACAAACCGTACTCTTTATACGTAGAGGCTTCTCTGCCGATCCGGCCCACCGATGCTGCCATTTCTTTCTAATAATATTTTAATATAAAAATAAACATTTATAACTTAAAAAATATATATTTTATTACATTTATATTTCCAATAGAATAGTCAATGAGAAAATAAAAAATAAATAATTAAATATGCCCTATATTGGGAATGCATGGAATATATGCTTAACCAACAATTCTCAAGTTAATGTAAGTAAACCCAAAAAATAAAACTTTATTTTTTCGTCTTTCTTGAATGGTAAAAAATAATAAATTGTAGTTTTAGTTGTCTAAAATAATAAAATTTGTTTTGCAATTGAAATGGAAAACGTCTACCCACATTTTTGGCTTTTGAATGAAGGGTTTACTTCTTAGAAATGTATAAACTTTTTCAATATTGTAAATAATTAATTTTACGCAAAAACCCTCCTCCTGGGATGTTGTTTATTTGTTAACAGATTTTATTAGATTATCCTATAATCGTACGTACCACGACAAAAGTGACTGGCCTACAAGGCAAGCTAAGAAATTTATAAATTCCCCAAATGAAAAGCGAAGGAAATTTTCTTTCTCATCAGGCTGAATATAAGAAAAACTATAGGCCTTCTATACGGGCAGTGGCTGAAAGAAAGAACTCTCATTAGAGGATGAAGTCGGTTACAGAAACCATTTAGGAATGCCCGAAGAAAACATTTGATGACTGTTGTTAAAAGTCTTACAAAGAAAAACCTTTTACATAAAAATACAATATATTAACTATGAATCAGTGATTCGAAAAGCATTAACGTAAGATGAAAGAATAATCGTTTTGGCATCAAATGTCACTTGAGTCAAAAAATAAAACAACACCCATAGCGTAAAAGTTGAACAGGAAACAGTCAACCGGGAGGTTTCAACTGTTTCAAGTGTAGTTTCAACTTGAAAGTAATGACTCATAACTTAAAGAGAAGTCTTGACATAAATGACAAAAATTGGACTGGTTCAAACTTTAGTTGATCAACTCTGTGAACTCGTAGGTCCTATCGGCCACTGCCCTCTTAACCATCACCTAAAGAAGATGGGCAAAGCAGAGACAGAAACATGCCGACTATGCCAGGAGGAACCAGAGACTTCGGCACATATCCATTGCGAATGTGAAGCACTAGCCTCGATATGGCCATTCTCACACCTAAAGAGGTACGCGAAGAGTTACCAAGGAAAGTGGTTAGGCTTATAGGAAAAAGTGCACTTTTCAAGGTTTGCCCATAATTTATAAAGGTTCCACAATAGATTAATTTTCAGTGGATTAAAGGATTTTTAAAATCCTTATTCCACCCCAAACCTAAAAGGTTGAAAGTTTATTAAGCCAATTACGATATTTTCATAAATTTGAACTTTGTAGAGTTAATGTTTTAATGACAATAAAGCCTTTAAACATTAAAAAATAAGGTATCTATTCATTTGTTCAGAATCGTTCGGTCTAATTTTAATTAAACTGATCTTTCATTGGCAAAGAGACAAAAGAGTCTACGATGAACAGAAGTGAAATGATGAAAGTATTATATTTATTTGGCTTTATTTAAGTACTGGCTTACTTTCCGTTTCAAAGCAGACACAATTTCTATGCTAAATATCTTGTTTTGGGGAAAAGCGTTTTATTAAGATAATTTGATCAGCGGCGAACAAGAAAAACCGTTTTCCAGTTTTGGCGGATCAAACGTTATGCAAATTGAGCACGTCGGCAGTTTGTTACTGCAGAGAGATTAAATAATTAATTTAAAAAAAACCCTCACGAAGTCGATGAGGGAATATTTTTTTGGCCTTTGCGTTACCAATTAGCTCAAGGAAATTTATGAAAAATTAAATATATATATAAATATAACGATTATGTTTAGTGGTCTATTGACCGAATTACTTCTTTCAATTAATTATTCTTTTTATGAAATGACTTGGCTGAAATGAAAAAGGTAATGGCACTAGCGGGATTCGAACCCACGAACTTCGGCTCAATAAGCCACTTGAGCTGTCGTGTTATTAAATAAATATAAATTCTTCTACGAAATACCCCTTACATACCTATATAAGGGGATATTTTAAAATCAATTGATAAAACAATCACAATTCAACAATTATATTTTTTCAATTAACCAATTAAAATAAAATGTAATCTACAGGATTGAAATCCAATAAATCGGATCTGCGGAAATTGACAGTCGGTTAACGAGGAAGATTTATTTGCAATTAACGCTTGGTATTCAACAACTGAAGAAGAAATAATCTAAATTAATATACATTGTTTGTCTTTGTTAAGCTAGATAAATAAATGACGAAAAATGCTATTCAAATAAAATCCATTAGGTTTCGAGTTCCGATTGACCAAATAACATCTTTCAATTAATTAATCTTTATGTAAAGTATTGGATGAGATAAAAAAGACAGCGTCACGAGCGGGATTCGAACCCACGACCTTCGGCTAAATACGCCGCTGCTATACCACTTGAGCTATTGTGAATTCGATCCACTCGGACACCAACTTCCTACCTCAACCCCACTTTTTGAATTTTCCCTCCTTTTTGCCATTACGTTCGGTAATACGTATTAGATATATCGTATTATGTTTTCTTTTGTGTATATTGAGATTAAATGTATTTATTAGCGTGAAGGCATAGTATGGGAAGGCCGATGGTGGAATGTTGTAAAAGTATGTAAGTAATCCACCCCCCTACATGAGTGAATGGTATCGGAATACATTATGGAGGGGTTGAGATATCTTTTGAATTTTCCCTTCTTTTCGCCATTTTTCAAATGTCGTGTTATCTATTTGATTCTCGGCGAAAAAATGAAATGGCCACGGAGAGCTGTAGTGAAGTATACTTCATTTTAACTGATTAAATTCACTAGT